AATGGCCAGACCTCGGGCAGCCTGATGCCAAGCATTAGTATCATTGGTTTTCACTTGTAAATACTGATAGCAATATATTTCTAAGTGAAAATAGCCCTCCTCGTTATTGTTGCAATATCATAATTATGAGAGTAATCATAGAAATGCCTTTCAATAGTCAGTTCTCGAAAAGCCTGAAGTCAAGCAGTAGTAAAATTGGTTTTCACTTGGAAATGTAGTTAAAGATATGTTTCCAAGTAAAAATAGCCCTCCTCGTAATTTTTGTAATTTTATAAGCATGAGAGGGATTACAGTTTTTTTTTATAATATTCAGACGTTGGACAGCCTAATGTCAAGCAATAGTGACATTGGTTTTTACTTGGAAAGTAGATAGCGATATGTTTTCAAGTAAAAATATCCCATCCCAACATTGTTGCAATATCATAATTATAAGAGGGACCGTGGGGTTGCCTTCTAATAGTGTTCAGTATTAAAAATAAACTGTATCTCAGGTAGTAAAAACAACCAATAGATTTTCTTCTAACCGTGTAGTTCTTTATAATAAGCACTGCTCAATACACCTTATAGAACATGTAATAACAAAAAAAGAATTCGTTTTATGTGCGAGTTTAATGTAATATAATGAAATGCAAGTTTTAGTGGCAAGTCGGAGCACTTATGATGTCGTGAGCGCCGTCGTATAAAAAGTTTACCATGTCGAATTGAAAGCATTTTCACACTGTTTCGCGGAAATAACAGTAGTGCCTGTACGGATTTTGTATAGAGCCGGTTAATTAAACCGACATGCGAAGACCATACGACGATTGCACCGTGGAAGTGACTTTCTGCTTTCGAACTACTCACAATCAGATTCAGATGTGGAAATATTAATTGAATTTTTTTGATCTTGTTAGAAAGATCAAAATTTGAGTTTATAGTCTATTAGTTAACCACCTAATGCTTTCGGCCGAACTCGGTTCGTTCATAGGAATTTTCAAACTTATCGCAACTGGTTGGACGATCGAACCACTAAAATTTTATATTATATTTTACTATATATATTAATGTAAAAAAATTCAATAACTTCAACATTATTGTTATTATAAACTAAATTATACTAATTATTTTTTTTATTTTTTACCTCATAGTAATAACATTCTAAACACATTGTAATAATAAAAAAAGATAATTTTATGCCATTTTTGAATATTATCCAAAAAAATATGAAATCATCGCAAACAGTCGACTTACGAAGTCGAAATGGAGTAAGATAAAATAAAATAGAGGCGTTGAATTGAGTTTTGCGTGATCATATGTAACATAATCTTCCATCAGGTTAGATTTATTGGAAGTAAAGGGAGTCGAGTATATATATACGTTCAATGCACTTTACGATAGGTGCATATCGTATTTCAGGAACTGGTAACTTCTTAAGTTACAGTTCATTTAATAGTTGCGGAAACAAGTGCTGCTCTTCTCCTATATCTATAGTTGTGATAAAATTTTAATATCCATATAAAATAATGCGTTTTATGCTGTTTCTGATCTTAAGAGAAAAAGACAAGGAATGAGAAGAGAGATATATATATATATATATATATATATATATATATATATATACTCTTGATATGTTAGGAGGAGCCAATAAGTCGATAATTCAATGCAATAACATTATTCACTTAATTATTTACAAAAATCATACAAGACGAATAACAAAAATTTCAATTATTCACTTATCAGTAGTACTGCCTAACATCAAAAATTTGTTCTCCCTGTGAGTATTAATTTATGTTCTGGAATTAGAACAAACTGATATTTCGGGATATAAATAAGCAAGCAAGCAATCGATTTCAGAATACCAGATAATAAATACCCTCCAGTTTGGTTGGTAGTTGTTTTGAGCCTAGATACGAGCTCGTATTTCTATAATAGATGCAGAATATAATCTTGATCAATTGGTAAGTCTCGCATCGCGTGATGTCGGTTTATAACTTAAAAAGGATTGGAAAACGTCGAGCTGTAAGCTAATTCATTTTCGCGATGGAAATAAATTAGGTCATCATTTGTATAACGATAGAATTACCGTGGATGCGTTAGTTCCTGATTCTATAAAAATCCGCCAATTTTGAACAACATCAAATCAAACATGAAAAACTTACTTATCTTCTGGCAAGGTCACTGAATTCGTTCCAAATTTTATCATAATTGCTAATTTTGGCGACCTGTTTTATCCTATATGGGAATAAGGAAATAACATTAAGCAGTTCAAAATAATATATACTAAAAAGTTGCACTTATGAATAAAATATGCGTCAAGTCAAACTAATATCATTTTGACACTCGTGCTATTTGGTGGTTAGTTTTCAAACTTTGGCAGTATCAAAAATTTAACCAAACGCTCTACTAAACAACATAGAATAGTTTTTTGTCAGTTTTGTGACCAACTCTTTGAGACATAATTTAACCCTTTCTACTCGGATGCCGCCAGGCAAAATACATATTATTTCCGCAATTTGCGAGTGGAAAGGGTTAGCATGATTTAACTAAATAAAATAGGGTCACCGAGAATACCAAATCTGGAACATACTTTTATTGGATACATTGAAACTTACATTGGAACTTGATAATATAACATAAAATGTTAAAAATTTAAACATTTTCTTGTGATCAGTTTTTGGGTGAATATTTGATATACGATTTTAAATTTTTTTATCAGACAGAAAGCTGTAAGGTTACGTATTGCGCGAGGCTTATTTTTCAAAACTTTAATTATTTTTTATAATTGAACCACTCATCATGAGCCTATAATATTTTGAAGTGTTCGGTTTGACTATGAACTCTATCACCAGGCGAAGTTTGATCAAAATCCCAGAAGAGTAAACCTGAGATTTTCCTTGTTAATTAGGTCTACTGTACTAAAAAATCGTCTTGGTTGTATCTTTTAAACCATGAGAATTTAATTTTTTTTTCTTTTTTTTTGAAAATATAATAATGATTAGTTTTGCAGTATATTTCAATATTCTTTGACATGATCCTGCTCATGTTTTCTACATAGCTTACTATGCAAATACATTTTAATGTAAACTCTAGTAATAACTTATATGCTACAATATATGTGTGTGTTCTTGCCTGTATTTATATCAATGTACATCATATATTTTATGTATGTATATATATATATATATATATATATATATATATCAAAACAATAAATCAATTCCCAGCAGTCCATTTCAATTATTAGTAACATCTATTGAATTACGAGAAGTGTTGTTTCATTCGCTTGCTCGTGTCGAAATACGATCATGCAATAGCATTTTGGGATATAACTGTTCGAAACTTATTATGATTATTAAAATAATGAATAGTTGCAACAGAATTGAGTAATTTTGTTGCAATATTTGCGAACAATCTCCAAAGATGAACCCCGACTTCGTCTGAACTGTTGAACTCAATGCGCGGGACCTTCGCGAAGCGGAAAACAGTGTCAAGGCTCTTGTGACATTAAAATTATCACTCTGTTAAAAATACAACACGCTACCAGCATAATGAGAGCGATTTGTGGTGATAATTTTCCTAGAAACAAATTCATGGTACATTTGTCTAGGTTTTGAACCTATTGTTTGATTTTTTTTTGACAATCAGCACAACAACTTTTTTGATTCATTTCTCATTAACACCTGCACTTGTGTCTTCTAATCAATTTTTGCAATGTCAAATGATAGTTTAAGTTCTTTTTGAATAAGTCAGTATTATGAACTCTTGCAGCAGATTTTCAGAAGAAAACTTATGTTTTTGCCAGAAAATTTAACTTGCTAAATTTTTCAATCATTTGATACCAAAATTGTAAAAAGTACGGATGTGTGTATGTAAGACAAAATTTTACCTTTTACGATGATCGACCTACTTGTTTCTTTACAATTAACAGAAATGTGTGAAATATTTCATCATAAAAACCTAAAGCGATTTTGAAAATTAAAAGCCATTCGATAAATACAAGTTGAAGTTCGTGCTGATTGGTTTTCAACAAATATTGATTGAGTCACTTTTTTGCAATCAAATGCTTTCAAAGAAACTTAACATGACAACCGAGTTTCTGATCGAAACGAACATTCTAAAATTACCCATTCGTAATAATTATAAATAAATATTATAAATTTAACGGCCAGAATACAAACTACGCAGTTGTCGAGAATCATAGCTATACATATACGCAGTAACAGCTAAGTAAAGCTCAGTATTGCACTATGCAATGACATTGAACAAGTCGTAAAATATTATAGTCCTACGAAAAGTGGTTGAAAAACATTCATTAACGTGTGAAAAAAATCAAACTTTTCAATAAAGTCAATTTTTTTCTAAAATTTCAAAATTCTTAAAAATCTAAATTTTTTCAAAAGTTTTTTTAAGAATTTTATTTTTTGGTACGGGAAGATCTAGTAATTTGCCTTAAGGCACGATGCCATGCTCCAGTAGTATAAATCTTATATAGAATTAAGCCTAGTGGTTAATTTACGTGCTACACTTGGTGGCGCCTCTATGGAGTGCGGAAACAATTAAAATTGAAGTAATGGTAAAGCGACTATGTTTTGCAATCTGTTTCTTACATCTAGTTATAATTTGTTTCGACTTTTAAATTTATAATTTGTATAGCATTCAGAACGATGTCGTTAACTTTTATTGTTAGTATTACTATAAATCTTCATCACAGTTGATCGGTCGGTTAAGTTGCGATGAATTATGAAAACTGGGTAATTGTAAAGAGCCATATCGTGCGATTAGTAATCACATACAGAAGAAATAGAATCTGATTCAAATCCGACTGCACAATAAGATAAAGACAGTTCTCACGGGATCGTTCGAAAGAAAGCGAAAGAAACGCATGGCAAGTAGGTATCGTGCGCACCTACGCACACTTCGCTGCTTTTCAAACTTTCGGAAATAATTTATTAAAAAAATCATACATAAAATGAAAATTTTTATTTGGTACACGACTAAATTATTTCAAAATATTCTCTTAGGGAACGAGACCTTTTGCTACGAAAGTGCTTTCCGCAGGAGTGACGCAGCAGTCAGCAAACCACCCAAGGTAACACAAAATATTTTAAAATTTTAATCATAATTATAACAAAAAATATTTTAAAATTTACACTTTTGAGTAACTAAAAACCACGATAAATATAATTCTCAAAAATTTAGATCAGAGTAATAAATATTAAAGCAAAAGCCGACACACTGGATGTCGTCTATAGGCGACATTCGTAATCACAGGTCGTCAAGTGCATGTGTCTAAAGGCGAAAGGGTTAAATCATCGTTAAAAATATTTGCCAACTGCATCATAGCTAACATAAATAGATTAACTTTTCTCCGATAATCATTAAAATCTCATACATTTTAAGAAACTATTTGGTAAATCTTATATACTGCTTATGGAAGTCAATCTAAAATACACCAGCAATTATTCCTGTTCTCTGAAGTTTAAATTGTTTTTTGTTTTTTTTGTTTTTGAAATTGTTTTTTTTATTATTGCATTATGTTGGATACGATACAATATATATAATTATGTACATGGTTTTCTACCCTAAGGGTATTTTACAATTATTCCTATATTATGTTCAACTATTAATACCAACCCTTTACAGCTGTTATGCTGCTGCAACAGCAATGGAAATTATTTATATCAAAAGTTACATATATTGTATATATGTATATTATATTATATGTATATTATATTTGAAAATTTGAAATCATAATTTTACCTATACTATGAGTAAGGTATTCTAGTTGGCTTATGCTAAATGAAAGATTTGCTATCTTTTTATTGAAATTCCTGAAATTTTTACTCTCCTGGATTCTAATTATTTGTTCGTCTTACCTTACATTATCGTCTGAAGTATATGTGTTGCACTTGTCGTTTTGGTACAATAAACATGATAATTTTTTTACGACCGTGGAACTTGATTCAGTAGACCTATATGTAATTTATTAGTTTAATGTCATAAAACTTAGACACGCGCTGAACAAAGCGACCGCAGCATTGCCATCGCGATTACAACTTATACGCACAAGTCTCATTGTCAGTCAACAGTCGGTTCCCATATACATATTTCTCTGTTATTATATATATTTGCACTATCTCCGACCGATCTAGATTGGAGTTTACCTAGTATTTATGGTAAATGGTAATAAAGAAGTGAAAAGCTTAACAATTTTTTCTAAATGAATATTTGATGACCAATAATACCATTTTGAAAATGTGAGCTTAGTGGTCTTTTCTCAGTTTTTTGCTTTGTTATTAAATTTTCAACTTCCCATAGGGCAAGAAAAGGATTATCATATTCAAACAGCTGTATCTCCGAAAATAATTTGAATTTAAAAAAAATCTTTTTCATACATTGTAGTGGGCATGCTCTCCATTCGTAATAATTATAAATGTAACGGTCAGAATACAAACTACGCAGTTGTCTATCATAGCTACACATATACGCAGTAACAACTAAGTAAAGCTTAGTGTTACACTATGCAATGACATTGAACAAGTCGTGCAGTAATGATATCTAGGATTACAAAGTCACATTGAAAGCAAGCTTGATTGATGAAAAGGGTTGCAATGACGCAGTCGTCATTTAGTTTTCATAAAGTTCAGATCAATATGAGTTAGGCAGTCGTACTTTACTTATTAATGGAGTCGTATTTCAGTCAATCATATTCATTCATACTCAATTATTCAGTTGTTCAAATTATATGCAAAGTGTACAAGAAGTTATAAAAAAATACACCAAACGCCTTCGTCTGTTTTACTGATCAGCCTCCACAGTTTGGTAACAGCTATGTTAGCAGCAGGAGGAACCTATATATTGTTTGGAGCCATCGAGGATGATGGCACAACGACATATTCTTGAACCGTTTAGTTTTGAAAATATGCAAATAAACAAAACTATTTTTTGAAATTTTTTCACTGGAATACCCCCTTAACTATGTCTGCTTGTTACTTGAATGTAGCGTGTCAACTTGATAAAGGTGTCTATAGTAGTTCTTTCTTCGGCATATTGCTATCATTAGCAAAGTTATTATGATAAGAACATAATACTAGCAATGAAATAAATAATTATACATTAAATTACTAATAAATAATATAAATGTCTAATATTTTATGAGTATACTAGAACTATAAAACTAAGTTACAGTTTATAGCCACAATCAATGCATTCGCACGCGTGCGAATCGAACGCAACGTTTATCTATTATGAGTCCATAGAAAACTAGACATTAGAAAAAATAAATAAAATCCAATTTATTGCCAATTCTAAAAGGTAGTTTAATCATGATGCAGGGCTTCATTTCTATAGAAACGTTAAGCTAGTAAGATATATGCGCATACGATATTATATAATGAATAGTGGCCGTCCGACAACCATTACAGAACATTGCGTCGCTCGGCAGCTCCGAAGAAAATACGTGAGCGATATAATACGAGGAGAAATCATAAATGTAATAATGATAAGTTATTGTAATCTGCATAACAATCGGCGTTTGCAGACGCCTAGAAAATTCTAAGTAAAAAGTGTAATAGCGAATTCATTGTACTTTACTTTCGCGTAGGGTTTCTAGGGACTTGCGTTCAAACATATCAAACAGAAGTACCTAGGTACTACGGGCGAAGCGCACAAATCATAAGGTGCGCGATGACATGCGAAAAACTTAATGTAGCCTGCGTCGGGGAAAGATTAACATCGACACGAAACGCAACGATCGTTAAACTTTTTATACAAATTCTTTGGAATCATTTTTATACAGATTCATAACGAAGTTTTGCTTCAGAATTCTTACTTCCCAAACGCAGAAATTGATGAGCCAATTTTGCTGAAAAATAGACCACTGTTGTGGCAACCCTATGTTACTCTGCTTTTATCATATGAAATAGTACTAAGAACTGTGAAAATGCTATGTATTTACTGTGCGGTCAGGAGTCAGGAGTTTTAGATATAAAACTTATGGGCCGATTCTGCCGCACAACAGACCTATGTTATGGCAAGTCCATGTTACGCTCCAACTTCCATACATTATGCTACTGAATCATACTGAATACTGTCAAATGTATTTTGCTGAAAGTTCCTGTTATCTAAAAAGGAGAACCCGCGCATTGCTCGTCTCGGATTTTGATGAAACTTGGCACAATGGTAGATTTGATGCCCAAACTGACCGTGGTAAAATATTAGAGGCCTATGAAAAGCGGTTTAATTATAAAAATTAATTAAAGTTTGCATTTTAGCAGCTCACGGCATGCATAGCTTGGAATACTTTTCCTTATCAGTAGCAGATTGGCCGAGTGGCTATCGTCGTGGAATTCTAATTTTTGCTCCGGGGTTCAATTCCCAATTCAGATTTAATATTTTTTTTATTATTTTTGTTTGATATTTATAATTTCACGTGTAAATAATATCAACATTTATTTGAATTTTAGATTAATTTTACATTTTTCGCTAAATATTCCATAATAAAGTCGTCCGTAACACTTGTAAATTTTTATTTTGATATTGCTTATGAAACTTACGATCATATAAATGTTAAGTGATTCCTAAAACATTATAATTTTGTATTAATAACAATAATAACACGGAGGAAGAGATATAATTTATTTCCATATAAAAACTATGTTCAAATTTACAATTGTGGCGATTGTACATATTGTAAAAATAAGAAAAATATAAAAACTGCAGTGAATAAATTTTATTAATAATGTTTTCAAGCCATATGTCAAAAAGAATTTTGTTTATTATATTAATATTAGATTATTGGGCTGGTCAAACGTACAAAGTATCATCCTCATAACAGTAAATTTGAACATAGTTCTTATATGGAAATTAATTATATCTCTTCTTCCGTGTTATTATTGTTATTAATACAAAATTATAATGTTTTAGGAATCACTTAACATTTATATGATCGTAAGTTTCATAAGCAATATCAAAATAAAAATTTACAAGTGTTACGGACGACTTTATTATGGAATATTTAGCGAAAAATGTAAAATTAATCTAAAATTCAAATAAATGTTGATATTATTTACACGTGAAATTATAAATATCAAACAAAAATAATAAAAAAAATATTAAATCTGAATTGGGAATTGAACCCCGGAGCAAAAATTAGAATTCCACGACGATAGCCACTCGGCCAATCTGCTACTGATAAGGAAAAGTATTCCAAGCTATGCATGCCGTGAGCTGCTAAAATGCAAACTTTAATTAATTTTTATAATTAAACCGCTTTTCATAGGCCTCTAATATTTTACCACGGTCAGTTTGGGCATCAAATCTACCATTGTGCCAAGTTTCATCAAAATCTGAGACGAGCAATGCGCGGGTTCTCCTTTTAAGATGTTTTTTTTGACATTTGTGCGGTTTCTAAGTTAGGTTTTCTATCTGACAACCTGAGAAAAACGCCTGGCTGCACAGCAACCACATGGCTTTTGTCAATATTTAGTATGGAAAGTTCTTCATAACATAGCATTGCCATAACATTCGTCTGTTGTGCGGAAGAATCGGTTCATTAACCTAGAAAATGCACAAACGTCAAAAAAGAATCTTATCATAAATGCATCTTTTTGGTGTTTCATAATAACACATGCGAGAAGTTAGATAAAACGCCAGACTGCATAGCAAATACATTGCATTGCGACAGTCTTTAGTTCTAATTTATATGAAAACGTTGCCAAAACATTGGTTTATTTTACGGGAGAATTAGTCCAGTAGTTGCAAAACTATATTTGCACTATTCAGCCAATTATGAAAGTCGGTTGCCTAGAAACTTCAACTTTACATAATATTTCTAGTACGTGTCCTGTTCATTGACAACGATCGTTAAACCTTGAAGTCTTTAGAATCATTATAATACAGATTCATAAAGAATAGGAACTTCAGAATCCAATCTTATCAAATGCAAAAACTGAGTTTTATGTTTTTTTATGATTCCTATAATATTTTATCACATGCCTAAGTGCAAAACTCTATTTCCAATATTCTTCTATTTATAAAAATTGTGAATTCTGGTTGCCTAGAGACTTTTCCTGAACAAAATAATTCTAGCACGTCCTGATCGTAGACTTGCGTGCAGGTACAGATAAGGTAGAACAAAACATTTCAGTATACTAAAATAGGAATAGATTTGGAATGCGTTATATACCGTTATCATACTTTCTTCAAGAATTGCAAAGTCAATAATCTTGGTGCCTTTTGAAGATTGCACGTGGAGGATTTGTGCCTTTAAAAATCAATTTCAATTCACATTAAAATAAAAATGTCTTAAACTTGCTAAATATCATTTTGTCTCTGTAGATCTCCTATGCCTTAGAAGTTTAAAAAGAATGTCCAAGAATGGTGTTTGCTTAATTCGATTTTCATCAGGAAGATCACGGAACTTTCCATGAGGCTCTTTACACCTACTTTAATTAGGCTTTTTTTGAAGCCCTATATATATATATATATATATATATATATATATATATATAAAGTTAAAATGACAAAAAGGGTTAACGTCCGCCTTCACACCCATGTGTGGCACATCGGAAACTGACTCAGTTCATGCGGTTAACCCATGCAGCTAAAAATAATTCCCTTCAAAGAAGACTGTCGCGTGTAACTGTCTTTCCTACTTATAATTAATAAAATTTGTGTCCAACACTCTGTCACATCTTTTTCGAATATTGTCAATATCATGGATTTAAATTATCTCCTTTGCAAAATGGCAAATTACGTAAATCAATATGCAATAGATGAATAGATTGTATACTAATTATGCACGTACAAGTGTGCTATCAATTAGGCTCAAATAGGGCACCAAATTATCTTCCTTAAAAATGGCAAATCATGTAATACAATATGCAATTGCGTTTGTTTATACACTAATTATCGCTGATGTATATATTATCCTTGTACAAGTTTGCCATCAATTAAGGACATTAGAAGAATACACTTTTTTAAAATTATAACTGAAATTTTTTCTGCAATGCTTTTGAAAATATTAGCTAACTAATTTATAACATTGCCATGAGCAATAGCATGTTTTTATTAATTTTTTTTTGTATTTTTATAGCAATCAGAACTATAAGTTCTATAAGCTGTACTGAGCACTGGTTATTGCTAAAAACAACGTTGTCAGTAGCCAATCCATTGATTGGACTTACTCTATCTGAAACATAGTTTAATTTTATACTTAACTCTATTAGAAGACAACCCCATAGTCGCCTTTCTAACTGGGATATTGCAGCAATACCAGGTAAGGGCTATTTTCATTTGAAAACATATTGCTAATTATATTTTCCATTGACACTGTTGCTTGACAAGAGGCTTTTCAAAGCGGGACTAGTGGTACCTCAAGGCAAATTGCTAGAACTTCCCGTACCAAAAAATAAATTAAAAAATTATATTTTTGACAATTTTTGAAATTTTTGAAAAAAAATGACTTTCTTGAAAAATTGATTTTTTTGTATCCTGATTTTTTTTGAAAATTTTGAATTTTTTTTAAAGTAATTGCATGGTTGAATCGTGTTCGCGAAATCGTCGACAAAAAATTGTATCCGCACATACAAACACACACACACACACTCATCCATTTTTTTTAAGGTATGCCAAAATGTTTAAAATCCTCTAAAACGTAAGATATATAAAAATTTTCATTTTCGTTTGTTTGGATTATTATAACTTACCCTACGGGAAGTTAATAATTGCATATGTGAGCTAAACAAAAGTCAAAAAGCAATTTCATGAAACAGATTTATAATGTTTTTGCTATTCCAGATACACTTAACTAAATATAAAAAGTTGGCTCAACTGAACAATTTTTGGACAAAAAGTAGTCATTTGAAGAGTTTCTAGTCAGTATTACATAAATCTTAGATTCTAGTATTATAGATACTCTAGAATATATTATAAATTCAATACTCATAATCCAAAATTGTTTTCTTATTAGCAAATCATTTTTTGACTTCGGCCTTATTTTACAAAACACCTACTATAATGTTAAATTTTCTCATAACAGTTTACAAAATGATTCATAATGTGTTAAATAATTCCATTCGAAATTTCAAACAAACTGAATAACATCATCTTTCCTATAAAGATTTTTTCAATTGCTTTATGTTCGAGAAGGCAAAATCGAGTACATAACATGCAAGAGTATTCTATCGAAATACCGAATCTTCTTCGTCGGCAAAACAAGAGTCGAGTAGGAGAAGGTAGATGGTATTATAGAAGGTACCTTTCAACTTGTTAGTTATACAGTACAAACTGGTGTGATGCACGATTCTTCTCGGCACACTAATCGGAAGTCGGGATCTGGATGTACAGAGTTACTTCATACTTCATATTCTATAATCTATACGCTCATGGTGTAATAGACTTATTGTCGGTACAGGAGACACAGTGATTGGTTTTTCATTTGAAAAAATATTGCTTTGAACTTGGATTGCACATCTACACCTTAAAAAAAAAACTGCACTATAAAAATTTCTACACCGTGATTTTTAACCAACTCGTTGATCGACAAAATATTCATCCGAAATATTTCTCCTCCTTGTGAAGGAAAATATAAATGTAATAAAGAAGTAATAATATAATATAATTATTATTTCCACGTGATCAAAATATACTTATTACGTACGTTGGTTTCTGAAAATGCTTTTTCTTTTCAAAACATTAAAATTAACAGAAATATGACTGTAGTCGTCAATTAGGGTGGTCCTTAAAATGGTCATTTACGAATTTTCTTGCTCCCAGGGGCTCAAATGGTTCCAAATTGATAAAAAACAATTCTCTGAAAGTTTTAGCTCTTAATATTAACGTTTAGATAGAGCGCAATTCAATCAAAGTTTTGTATGGAAATAGCATGGAAAAATTTTCAAAAATTTTAAAAATGTTTTTTAGATGTAATTTAGAGAACAAATGAATGAATAAAACTCATTCATTTGTCGCTAAGTTATACCTAAAACATTTTTTTTTAATTTTTAAAAATTTTTCCATGCTTTTTTCAATTATGGGGCTCCCTTGTCGATTAGTGGGTGGAGCTAAAATCTTGCAATCAGAAGTTTCAGGTACAGTACACTCCTTCGACAGCTTGATTTCAAGTAGTAGTGACAACGGTTTATACTTGAAAATCTAGATAAAGATATGTTTCCTAACTAGGTATTGCTGCATCCAATGAAAAAGTCAGTCGTCAGAATTTGAGTTATACTAAAAATAAATTGATTAAAAAATGATGGACAAACAACTGCGAGCTTTAAAACCACATAATCCAAAGGTTATCACAACAAGCTCAGTACTATTAATTTCTGATTGCTGTTAAAAAAAATTAAATGAAACTAAAGTAAATACCGATTTTCTTCATTATGTTTTTTCATATAATATAAAAAAATTTAAAGTTGTTTAAAGAAAATTTTGGGAAAACTGCGTTTTCTATAACTTTTTTATAGAAAACTAATAGAAACCCATAAAACAATACGGATCGGTAAAAATTTTTTTTTTTATTTATAGCATTAGAAAAGATTGTTTAATACAGACTACTAAATTTGATTAATAACGTTTAAAATCTTTTTTCAGTTTCATTCTGGTCTATTAGCATTTCGAATGAAAATTAGATAATAATATATAAAAAATATTTTTGGGTATTTTAAAATGATTGTTTTAATTTTTTCAATATAGAAAGTGATATCGCCTTATTTGAGAGCAAAAATCAAAAATTCCATATAAAATAAATGTTGGATCGATAATTTCAAAGATATAGACTTATGATTATAATGGATTTAGGATTTAAAACAAAAAAAGGCTTTAGGATTTAGGATTCAATTTTTTAGTTTTCAAATTTTTAAATATCTATTAATCGAATATACAATATTACAATATTTATATTTTTTAATCTATATGTTTCTTTCACTTTTGAGGCTTGTATAAAAATTCTATTTAATGTTCTTCATAATTAACATAAAAAATTAGCACTTGTTTATTTGTTTTCATAATTTTTGTTAATTTTCATGAAATTGTAAATAAAAGTCCAAATTTAGTAATGTATTCCGATTCATATAAGCATAAGGATGTCTTGTAACATAATATATATCATGTTCAGATATTTGATGGGAAGTTGTAATTTTATTATGAAGTAATTGCAAAAATTCAATTCAAACCTATACTTTTCCAAATTCCGGGACAATCCGGGACAGAAGATCTAAATTCGGGACAAATAGAAATAGGCTTTTAGAAAAACCCGGGACACAAGGTGAAAACCAAGACAGTCCTGGCCAAACCGGGACGTATGGCACCTTACCACTGGTTACTAATCAACTTAGTTAAGGAAATTGCCCGTTTGCTATTTATTTTTGTATGCTTTCATTTTTGTGTATATTTAATTTAATATTTAACTGCAGTGCATACATAAATACTAACGTTTCTGAGAGAAATTTATCAGGTCAAAAATTTAGGTGGATCTCAAGAACACTCGCATGAATAGGTCTGTTTGATTTTTCACTTTTGAGGCTTGTATAAAATTCTTTTTCATATTCTTAATAACTAACTTCAAATAAATAGCACTTGTTTGTTTGTTTTTATAATTTTTGTTAATTTTCATGAAATTGTAAATAAAAGTCCAAAGTAATGTATTCGGCATTTTCTCATTCATAAAGTATCGATTCATATAAGCATAAGGATGTCTTGTAACATAATATATATCATGTTCAGATATTTGATGGGTAGTTGTAGTTTTATTATCAAGTAATTGCAAACATTCAATTCAAACCTATACTTTTCCAAAACCCGGGACAAACCGGGACAAAAGATCTAAATCAGGGACAAATATTGCTTTCAGAAAAACTCGGGACACAAGGTGGAAAACTGAGACACAGTCCTGGCTATACCGGGACGCATGATTACCTTACCTTGCTCAACTTAATGGAGCAAGTGGCCTTAAATTTGTTATTTATTTTTGTATGCCTTCATTTTTGTGCATATTTGATATTCAATTGCATACATAGATACTAACGTTTTTGAGAGAAATGTATTACGTCAAAAATTTAGATTGAGCTCAAGAACTCTCGTATGAATAGGTCTGTTGGATTTGAGAAATGTGAATCTATTCCTAAAGTGACTCCTTCTAATCGTCTGGTGTATTAGGCTCCTGTTCTAAGCAAGTACATTATATATTTCACAATTAGAGTAGAATCGCGAACGTCGGCTTAGCATGCGCAAAAGAAGTTGAACAACCTTTTGTGTGTTCTCTCTCTACGTGTAATATGCATTATGCTATTAAAACTATTATAGGTACACGAGCGCACGTTTGAGGTTTAACTTTTTTTTACTATAATTTTTTTTATAATCGCGTACGGCGCCGCACAGAGCATAATTTGATTCGTTCTTTATGGCCCCGCTGAGAAATTAAGTAATATGTTATTGGAGTTAAGTAGAAAATGATATGAGCATTACCAGTCAGAAATATAATAAAAGTACGAGTATGTGAATTTTATGAAAATAAATTAGTATGCAGGAGTCGTCTGGGTAAAATTCATTACAGTAACAAGTATACTACAGTTTAGTATAGGGGTAACACCTCTGTAAATTTTTTATTGATTCAAATACTCACCAATCACACAAAAATCTATATTTTTAAAATCATTTACATATTTTTTCAGTTATAAGCATGTACAAGTGTTTTTTTCCAAATCCAAATTTTCAGTGCTACACTACGCCAAAATAAACGTGTTTCGTGAAAAATTGGTGCCACGATTTTTGAATATTTTGCTATTCTACTACTCTATCTACGCTAAATAACTTTCTACAATTTTCACCCCCAAAAAATTGACAAAACACACGTTTTTCATGCTGTTCCATTGAGTTATTATATATCTACTTTATATATCTACAAATATTTTTCTTTGTTTAATTTATTAAGTCACCGAACATGTGACTTAATAAATTAATCCTGATATTCATATATCCATAAAGAACATTTGGTGATCGGAAACACGTTCAAAATTTCATATTGCATCAGTTGTGAATACTTATGAATAATTTGTTTGTCTATTAAAAATCAAATTTATTCTACAGAAAACAAATAATTTCAATTGGATTATTATTTTTATGACTATTCTAAAATATACTCTAAAATTTATATGCAGTAAAACCCCGTTAAGACGATTTCTCAAAGACAAGACAAAAAACACACAAAAACGTATTATACGGAAAGGGAATATGACTCAATGAGACCAGCGTACTGTGTCGTATCATGCGAGAAAT